ATATAGAAATCCAACAAGGTAAAAAGGTGAAGCATTTGCATATCAAACTCAATAGCACATTTCGGATGCTTAGACATATAATCTATGGCATCCCGTTGATTCATGAAGACTTGAAACATAAATATCAGATTCTCCATCCTTTCCACCTCACAATTTATAGAAACATAAATATGCACATCCGCAACATGATATAATTAACTGAAATAAAAGTAGGATTAAAATAAACAGGTACACGTCATTACCATTGGAACTATTATATCTTCCTTTCCAGTGCTCCTTAAAAATGTATAGGACAGTAATCCAATGCTCTGCGTGCCACTGCCCAGAAAGTTCAATCAGTACATTGACAAGATAAGCAAAAGCAAAAAATTAATAGATCGCCAATTTGTTTACAAACTCACTGATATATATTTCTATCATAACCATTTGTCTTTAAAATAACATTGAAGAAAATGGAGAGTAGAAACAAAACATGAAGTGTTAAAAATAAAAAATAAGCGAACAAAACCGACCTTTGTCCATATTTTCCACCACATCGTGAGAACACAATCACATCTGCTCCAAGTCTCATGGTACTAGTCTTAAAACCATTACCATCTGTAAAGATATGGAATCAAAATGCTTTCACAAGAGATTAAAAACTACAAGAAGAATACAAGACAAAACTTTTGATTTATAGTGGCACATTACATTGTCCAATAGTATTGGCTAATTTGCTTTTTTCTGAATAACCCAATGACATGCAATGACGCATTTTGTTGGGGTCCATCCCACCACCATTATCTGTAATATATTCAAATACATATTTCTTCAATACATAAGTACAAATGACATGGCAATGAAAACTTACCGATAAAAGAGGGGGACATAAAATTATTAAAACTTACAATAAATAAATAAACAAAAACCCCAAAAGCTATTTTATTGGGAAGACACCCTGGTCTCCTACTTGTCTACCTATTTTCTTGCTAGTAATGTTGGCTTATTATCCCCCTCCCCCACCCCCACAAAACAAATAAAGGATAAAGGAAAAGAGGATAAAGGGTAAAGGGGGGGATATCGCCCACGATAATTTGAGACTGGAAAAGCATGTTAGTTCTGTTTCAGATTCAAAATTCTAATAACACTAAAATCTCGCAAACAAACAAAATACCTTCAATTAGTAACATTCTGGTCCCATCTTTCTTATTCACAAGCATGTCTACATTAACATGAGTAGCTCCATTGCAAACCTTCCATCAAGGGATGGAAAACAGATTAGTGGATGTGGTTTTTGTGTGAAAAGCAATGAGAAGGAAAAGTGGGTACCTCATCTAATGAGTTGTCTAATAACTCAGCAAACGCTGCACGCATCAATACAAATATCTTAAAATCCATGTAAAACATCCATGGTAAATTGTTGCACGTTTTATCAAAGTATAACTTCACGAAACTAGCAGAAACCATTGTTGTGTCAAGCATTCTTACCTCCAAGGGCCCACTTATGACTGGTCGCATTAGAATGCAGAAACTTAGGGTGAACCCTAACATGGTCCATGCCACCTACAAACATTTAGAAAATGGTAGAAGGTTAGGGTAAGTGTGAGAAATAACTATTATTAAAGTTAAATAAGGTTGAGCGTGGGAGATAATAATTATTCAAGTTAAATACTACCACAAGAATAGGGAGATCAGTTAAGTGGTCAAAGAACAATTGCAACAGCAGACTCCCAGAACCAAGTTAAACTATCATTTTATTCTAATGGGGGTGGAGAAGGAATGAAACTACCCTCCTCTCTTTTATTTCTTGATTTATTTATATCTTTATCAGTAAATATATAATGGTGAGGGGAATCATAAAATATAATGCAGGATTAACAATATTGGATCTACAAAAAACCAGAGTTGCAAACGTTTAAGTGAGGCCATCTGGGAGAAATTTTAGAGGGTTGGAAAGCAGCTGAGGATGTGTGGCCCTTGACTAGAATAGATTCAATGCCTCTCTTTGAGTTTCTATAACCAGAGAGGTATGTGATTAGCAAGTGGTTACAAAAATGATTTACACCAACCAAGAGCCTTTCTTTACAAAAGTAGATTCCATAAATCCGACAAAAGAGAGTAAAAGCTCGCAATTGTCGCCCCTCTCCTCACCGTTTAAGTTTCTTCTTACAATAACTTTCCACTAACCAGTACTTTCCTCTAATGCTTCAAAATCCGAAAAAATCTTTTTTACATGAGATTTAAAAACTTCAAGGAAATAATGCTGCCAACGGTTGAGACACCCATGGATCATGCCAAAAATAAGTTTCCTCTAAAATTTGAGAGAGAGAGAGAGACTTCTCCAACCTTTTTAAGTGAACCCCTGAAGGGTCAAGGGAAATCCTTGAAAAAACTTCCTCTGGGAGGGAGTAGCAGAAGAATTGAAAAGTCGCCTCATTAATTGGCAAGCAGTCAAGCTACCGATCAAAAATAGGGTCTTGGAGTGGGAAATCTCAAAGAAAAAAACTTCGGGCTGTTGTCCAAATGGCTCTAGAGATTCCCACTAGGAAAAAGAAGCTTGTGGCACAAAATCATTGTCGGGAAATCTGGTGAGGAAGCAGGACGATGGCTCTCTACTGCAAAAGAAAGGGTAAACTAAAGTATGCCCTTGGAGATTCATAACCAAGCAAAAATAATGGTTTGAAAAGTTCTATTTTTTTAAGTTGGGCACAGAAAACAGAATAAGATTCCGGGGGGATTTTTTGGTGAGTGAACTTAACCTTCCAAACTGGTTTCTGAGGCTATATAGACTCGTTGAGAATCAGAACATAAAATCAAGGAGATGTGGGACCAACAAATCTGAGGTGGAAATTAAATTTAGAAGAAAGCTTATGGAAGCAGAAATAGAAGATTGGATTCGTCTAAATAGCATCCTTGAAAGAGTAAAGCAAAAATTCAGAGATCTTCTCTAGCAAATCAGCGGCAAAATCCTTGGCAAAAATAGCAGATAATTTCCCACAAAGCTATCCAAAGAAGTTCGGGCCAGCAAAAGTCCGACTTCCTTTGGTCAATTTAGTGGAGCGGAACCAACACCAGCAACAAGGTACAAAGGGCTCATCCAAACATCTATTTGCCCCCTAATTGGTGCATTTTATCTGTGCATGCACCCAACTGGTGAACTATTGCATTGCACACCCTTTCAGAAGTGGCTACTTGGACACACCTCCTAGTTGACTTTGCTCTTTCTGGGATAGGGTAGCTTTTTCAGTTTCAAAATGTAGCTCTCTTTATAATTCTTTYCGTAATAATCCAACCAATGTTATTTTTGCCAACTGAGTGCATTCTCGTGATAGTATTGGCTCTTTTGAGGACTTCTTGTCCACTATTTTTTATCCTTTCTAATTATTAATAAAAGGTGTTTCTTTTCAATAATAATAAGAATAAGGGATTGAACAAGGGACTCTGGCCATGCTATTTCCCTGACTTTACGCCTTAACAGCCAACAAAGAAGGCCAAATCAAGGACCAACAGTCCAGCACCACCAAGTCTTGGGATTATAATCTCCGCTGGCCACTTGAAGATGAGGAGCTTGAAGATTGGAAGCGTCACTCACTCATCTTAAACAAGTATACGCTCACTCCCGGTCTGGCCACTCGATGCCTCCAAAATTTTCTCCGCAAGCTCTGTCTTCAGCTTGTTAACCTCCTCCAACAACCAACTGCTGGTCCCCCTCTACCACGATCTGGAAAGAGAAGTACCCCAAGAAGGTGAAGATTTTTTTGCTGGGAACTCAGCCACTGTGCCATCAACACGCAAGATCGGGTTCAAAAAAGGATTCCCCGCATCACTTTATCCCCAAGCTGCTCCCACTTTTGTTTTAAAGCATCAAAAGCACGACACCTCTTCATTACCTGCCTCTTTGCCTCCACCTTTTGGAATCAAATTCTACAGGCTTTTGGATGGGAAACAGCCTTACACAACAACCCCAGCAGATTCCTGGACATTCTATTTGGCGGGCCATCCCTTTAGGAATGAAGGAGCTACTCTATGGGTTCAAATTATTAGGGCATTTCTATGGAGTTTGTGGTTGGAAAGGAACAGCACGATCTTCAACTCCTCTTCTTTACCTTTTGAGGCTTTTTTTATAGAGTTATTGTATTAGCTTTAGGATGGTATAAATGCTTCTGCTCTCCTTTCAATAATTACACACTAAACAACCTTGCCACAAATTGGAAGGCGTTTTTGT